GGGTTGAATTTCACTAGCAAAACAAGAAAGACAAATATTCTGCCATTCATAAGAATTTGAACAAAAGTAAGAATTGAAGTACCACCTTATAACAGCATGGAAGCGTAAAAGCCACCTATTAATAGGTTAAAGTTTATTGGGAAAATAATGAATGAAAATAAGTATTCAATCTCGATGAATATATTTGTCACTTGCCTGACAAGAAACTTTAGATGCTGAGTCTTGGGCCACGCATTAATCGGTTAAAGTTTTTTGTTTTCAAAGCATTTAAACAGTGATTCAGAAATTTGCAAGCCTGTGAGATGTATTGGCTACATTTGTTGCACCTGTAACTCATACTGCAGAATGGTGCTGTCTTCACTTGTGGCTTAAGGTTTCGCAGACATGCTGTGTTCAGAGTGTAGCCTAATGCTTTTAGCTGTTTGTCATGATTCAAAAGCGATCATTGAACTCTAAGCTGGGTCTGTACACGTGAAGGTTATACTTCTTTTTGATGTTTGGGTGATGGATCTGATTTTATGACTGCCAATCAGTTTTGATATTGGTTCAAGTAGGATCTTCAAGTCATAGCTCCTTGACAGGCACTACACTTGGGAATTAATTAGAAGAAGCTTGCCCAATGGAAATGCATCCCGAGAATGGCATTAGAGGGTACTACGTTGCTCATCCTGAGTCCTGGTTGAGGTAATTTACTTTCATATTTTCTGTGTGCTCTGTGTCAATGGTTGTTTAGTTGTCGGAGTCTTAGAAGGTATTAATTTTACTATATCCGCACCTCATTCATTTGTTTAACTTGGTGTTATCATTCATCTTCTTTTCTTTCCTTCTTGAACTAGTATCTTGTTAAACCAGAAGCAAAAGGGGGAAATACTTATCTTCTTTTTGAAACTCAACAAAGAGTTGCATTCCCTTCCTTTCAACTATCTCTTTTTTTTTTTGGTCAGGGTAAATTCCTTCCTTTCAACTGGCCTTTTGGTTAACTTGATCATGTTAAATTGCAAAAGTTAATGGGGGTGAATTTCACTAAAAAAACAAAAAAAAGACAAAATATTCAGTCATTGATAAGAATTTGAACAAAAAGTAAGAAACCTTATAAAAAAACATGGAAGAGTAAACACCATCAACCAATAGGTTAATGTTGTGTTGGAAAAACAATGAATGAAAAGAAATATTTTATCTTGATGGATATTTGTTGCTAGCTTGACAGTAAAATTTATAGAAAACCATATATTTAAGACCATGCATTTTACCCATTAATTCAAATTAGAACATTGAAAATGTTCTTGTACATCAATGATTCAATATCTATCAAGTTGCATTTTGTATTTTTCTTCCTATATTTGTGTATTTTCTAGGTCTAAAGATTGCATATAGACTTCACGTGAGACAAAGAACAATTCAAGCCATTGTTAGTGGTAAAGATTCTCAAAGATATAGTTCTCCCACCAGGAAGGGCTTGAGGATCCTCTTCCCTTAAAAAGAAAAGACGAAGATTGTCAAGTTAACATTCTTCTTTTTTTCTCATTTTTGGGGGTGTGTGTGTGGGAGAGGGGGGGGGGGGGGGATGTTAGACTTGGATAGAGAGTTGGTCACCAATTTCCTTAGCCTCGGTCTCTATTTGTGTGTGTACAGGCGAAAACTTTGTAACATATATATTTACACTAATTCTGCAATCACTACCACCATGCATACTAATTTAAAATCTTAAATCTGTTTCCATTAGGGATAGCGGAGGGTAAAGAAATATCTCTGTTCCTTTAATTACATTTTCTATTCGCCATGGTAATGCAATGCATGATGTTGGAAATTATATTGAATCTTATCTTGTCTGAGATATATGAAAACCTGAAATGTCAGCTCATCTTGATTACTCATTGTTGCCCCCTTTCCAAAGTCTCATCACTTTGGAGATAACAAGAATGCACGTCAGACCAATCTCAAGATGTTCAATGTTAACCAAAGCCACGGAGACACAACCTTGTACCCCATATCAGTGGTGAAGCAAGGAATTTTACTAATGGTGTTCAAGATGTTCAAGATTTAATATATGTACAAATTATAAGGGTGTTCAACTGACCATCATTCACCGGCTGTAGCTCTGCTTCTTGTCTCATAAGATGCTGCTCTGTCATCTCCGGATTTGCCATAAACAACTACCATAGCTCCTTGGTATTGCTATTTGAGAGCATTCCGTTAATACTCCTTGTTGAAAGCAGGAAACAAGAACATAGATCTAAGGTCATTGTTTATCATCTGCCTCTGTCCTCTGCCTGTGCTGAAAGATTCTGCAGTTTCTGTCCTGCCAAATGTAGTACACAACTGCTGCCAATATCATCCTGTACATTGCTGAATTAATATGCCTGCCTTTACAATTAGTAACAGCCCAGTTGAGCTCATCATGCAATGCCAAGGTGCATTACTGGTAGGTTATTAAACATTTCTTTGAAATGTTCTGTCAACGCCACAGGAAGGTAAATGATGAAATCCAGAACACAGTCTATCGGTTTAATCTCTCCTGTCCTCTTTCTATTCACTAAAATTGTGGGATCATATTAAATAAAGCGTATGTTGTTTTTAGACATAACCAATATGATGAATTCTCCTAAAGGTTGACATCAAACTAGTGGCAGCACCTCTTGTGCTAATCAGATAAAGTATAACTTGGCAGTATGTTACGTGACTTTCACAAGTTTTCACTACTCAAATCTTTTTACTAGTCAATTTCTGATGTGATGCTTTTCTTTCTATATAATTTTTCAATTGTTCTAATAATTTTGTTCACTGCGTATTATATATGTAATGACAAGTCAAACAAACAACTTTATATCCAGTCAAATAGTGCCATATAAAACTGAAACAAATGGTCCCTTTGAGGACATCTGATAAAAGAAATAGGACGACTGTAGTATAATAAATTTACGAGAGGTCTTCCATGCAAAATACAATATGTTTAGCAAATATTGAATGCTTACATCCATTTTCTTTACATCAAACTGAGACTAACTGCCAATGAAATGCCTTCATTCTCTTTACATCTTTGTGATGCAGGAAAAGAGAATTAAACAGGCCATCTGGATGTCCAAGTTACTGCCTAATGCTATGACAACAAAAGTAAAAAGTGATTACAGAAGAATGGATATTCGAGTAACAAAATTGTCTTCGCCACTCCAGATATACAACTCTTCATACTGGGACAGTATCCAAGCCCGCCCGTGTGGCGTAAATATGCTCCAGTATTCCACCATTCCTCCTATAAAACACAGCCTGAGAAGAGCCTCCATCAAAGAATGACTTCATCGCCTCAACAGCTTCTTCTACCTGTGGCTGGTGCTTAGGTCGACCACATCGTTTTACATCTTTACTTAACAAAAGCTTCAAAGCTTTTTCCAGGGTAATGTTTTTGGGATTTAAGTTCTGTGACCAAAATCAGTACAGGCAACTTCTCATGGAAAAAAGAAAGAAACAGTAAATTATACCGTTAACCTACTTCAAAGTCATTCAAGTAGTCATTGATCTTGTTGCAATTTGTACAGATTTTATTACTCCCAAAAGAAAAGTGACACTTTATGAAACGTGTTGTATGATAATTAGCAATAACTAACAGGTGAAACAACATACTGACCAGCACTGATATTCATTGATATGGAGTTAGCAGTTGTAGAAATATTTGTAATCACTAGAGTAGTCTTAAGGCTGATATACAGGAATACCAAGAAGATTAAGCACAAAGTTATCAGCTATTCTGATGACTGAAAAGAAAGAAACTTTGATACCAGAATTCTAGACAGAAGGGAGACACTTGTACAAAATCTATTACTTCTCAGTAGATTAAGCACAAAGTTATAGAAGTCTAATGATTATGAATTGGGAGAAAATGCTTAAAGTATTCCTCCATGATAGATACTTTTTCCTGCTTCAGTCTCAAGTATATCATCAATTTATACCAGTAAGGCAGCATTTTGAAAACTGGAGAGCTAGACAACACAAACTTCACTTTTCATCCATCAAGATTGCAGGAGAACTATGATGTTGTAATAGTGCCATCACTTTTTATCATAGCATTAATGATTCCACTAAAATTTTCTCTGATAAATACCTTATAATTACAGTTAACAGGGGTGAAGCACCAATTTTTTTTAATTCAGCAGCAAGCTAGCATATCAAAACGAGATTCGACTGAACCAAACCTTGGGTACTGGAGCAATTGTTTGCCTATGTCCGATTGTAAATCCAAACTTTGCAAGCTTTACAATGACAGGCTGGTGCTGGTCATCATCTGTAAGCGATACTGTGTTAAAACAGAAATCAGAAAATTGTTAGAAGAAACAGAAACTCTGAAAATGATAAGAAATATTCCGAGTCCACAATTTCCTTGTGCGTCCTTAAGGAATTTTAACCCCCTCATAAGTTGCCAAGGTAATGGATTAAATCCTCCCAGGATGAAACGGAATAAACCTTCCTGCAACAATGGCAATACAAGCTGCAGGATACCAACAAACTCAAAGAACGGAGCAAAATCACACTTACGAATTTGAGAGAGAGA